CCAATAAATTTTAAAAGAATAGTTAAAGAAACTAATATTGATCAAGAACTAATGGAAATAATCAACGATATAAGGAATCATGAGCAGATAAAGAACAAAACGTATAAAAATATGGCATTGGAATTGAGTTTAATAAAAGGTTGCCTTTTTAAAGAGAATAGGATCATAATACCGAAAGGTATGAGAAAAGAGATTTGCAAGAGTTGCATAATGGGCATCTCGGTGCTGGAAAAACAAAATCATTAGAGAGAGAGTATCTGTGGTGGCCTGGTTTAAATGCAGAAATAGATCAGGAGGTAAAGAATTGCGATGCTTGCAATAAATACGCAGACAATCCTCATAATATTCAAAACCCATGGGAAACAGCTAGTGTTGTTAAACGGCTCGTTTTGAGCCTATTTTTCAAAACGGCTAACTCAATATTTTAGTCAGAAAAATATTGCCTAAGCCTCGAGATTTCGATAATATATGTCTAAACCTCTGTTACTTCTATGAGAAAAATCTTCAGGCCTGCGTAATATTTTTCTGGATATAATATTGAATTAGCCGTTTTTAAAAATCGGCTCAAAACGAGCCGTTTAACAACACTAGAAACAGCAACGAAAGTATTCGAGCGCGTACACATAGACTTTGCAGAGTTCAAAGATAATAATTTTATGGTATGTGTTAACGCCTTCAGCAAATTTCCTATTATTAGGAGAATGAGAAACACAACTACGGAATCAACGATTAAAGAATTGATGAAAATAATAAGTTTATTTGGTATACCTAATAGAATAGTCAGTGATAATGGAACTAACTTTACCAGTAAATTATTTAAGAAATTTTGCGAAGATCACGAAATCGAACACTTACTCACCGCACCTCACCACCAACAGTCCAATGGCCAATGTGAGCGTATGATTAGATCAATGAAAATGAATATGAAAAGGAATATGGAAAATAATAATAAAATAGACGTAGACATAGCTCTAGAAAAGTTTCTTTTTAATTATCGTAATACACCCAACGCAACGACCAACAAAATACCAAGCGAAGTAATGTTCTCCAGAATGATTAGGACAAAATGGGAGTTGATAAAACTGAGGGATGAAAGAGATCATATACTAAATCGCAAGATATCAATAGATAGGGATATAGAAATAGGAGACAGCATATGGTATAAAACTTTTAAGGATAATAATTGGGAAAAAGGTACAATAATGCGCAAAAACGGAAATTTGTTGTATGAGATAGATACTGGGAACAAAATTATAAAAAGACACTTGGACCAAATAAAAAAAAGATCAACTAATGTTGAACCTTCTTCTAATGGTGCAACAGTTTTTAAAGCGAATGTTAATAATAATGCATCACCTTATACATTGAATTTTAGAAGGGGAGGTGATGAACCAAGAAACCAAAATGTACAAGTGAATGATCAGAATCGCAACGTTCAAAGACCAGTTAGAAATAGTGTGTTGCCTAGAAAATTTGAAAATTTTATAATGAATTAAATTTGATAATAAATTTTTTTTTCTCTTCCTTTATTAAAACAAAATTAATTTTTTTTGTGTGTGGAACTAAATTGATAAAACATACAACAAAAAAAGATCAACGAAGGGGTTAACGAGCAAGAATGACAAACGACAAAAATTATAGACAGAGATCAAATAAGAAATAAAAAAAAGTGTGAAATGTTAAACAGTGACACTCATGTATTTTATCTTAACTTTAAAAAATTGTTTTTTTTTTACACCCTTAAGCTATTTATGGCGTAACTTAAAATATTTCAAATGTAATAAGAATTGTTTCTTTCTTTTTGTTAAAAACAACTTTTATATTTAAAAAAATCAATTTGCTTATAAACTAATATTAAATTTTATATTTTATAAATCAATTTACTTAAAAAACGAATGTTCAATTTTATATTTTAACTTTAAAAAGATCAATTTATTATAAACGACATTTAAATTAAATTGTCAATATATATAGGAAACTATTTTGAGTTATGTGATAATTATATTTTTTAAATTTAAATATCAATAAATTGACTTAAAAATTATATTCTTGAAGTCTGCACCATTAGAAATCTTTAGAAATTTCATGGTGGCAGCTTATCCTAAATTAAAATTTTCTAAAATATTAAATATAAATTAACTTCTTAAAATTTTTATAAAATCCAATACTATAAAATAGAAAAATTCAAGGATATTGTAAATTATAAATTATGAAACAGACCTCAAATAATAACGTTAATATTAATATTGAATTTCCAACATACACAGGTAATGGCGATGTTTTTCTAAGTCGTTTCGAAGACATATTCAACGATGCTCAGATCTCTGATATCGAAAAAGCAGGATCCTTCACAAGAAGACTACCAGACGAAGAATACATCAAGCTCAAATCGATATTTTCACCTACCGATTTCATCAATTCATCGATATTGATTGAAAAATTTAGGTTATTACACCCGAGGAAATCTACAAGTTCGAAATTGTTATTATTCAATGCAGCTGTACAAGGTAAAAGTGAAAGTTACATCAATTGGGTAAGTAGATTATGTATTTTACAAAGTGAATGTTCGTTAAGCGATAGTAGAGTCATTGAAAAGGTAAAAATTTCATCAAATAGCAGAAGTATCAGGCAGAAAATTACGTTGAAAGAGAATATTACGTTAGCAGAAGTCTTTAGTTTAAATGATTTTGAGGAGACAGAATTAAAAGAAAATATAATAGCTAAAGTTGAAAACATTTCTTTAAGTGAAAAGACTGAAGAAGAAACAAGTGTAAAGCATTTGGAAAGACAAAGAGGCATGAAAGTTGAAGAAAACAAACAGGTGGTCAGATACGACGATAGACATAATCCACGATCGAATAACGATAACAGACAACTATGGACTACGAGAAACAACAACTTTCAAAGAAATAATTATCAGAGAAATAATTACAACCCTAGACATCAGAACTATAATGCGGGTAACTATAATAACGTTAGGGCAAATTACCCAGGATTATACAATAATTCTTCGAGATATGATAATAGAGCTAGTTATAATAAAAATGACTATAATAATAATAGATTTAATAATGATTATAATTACAGATATAACAGACATTATTCAAGATGTATTCAAAGATATAACGATAATCATAATATTGGAAATCGAGGAACAAATCAAATGTGCAATTGTAAATATCATAACAACGACAATAATCAATCACGATATACAAATAAAGTAAACACTGTAAATATAGAAGAGATAAAAGAAGATGATAATGACAAACTAGAAAGAAAAGAATATAATTTATACAATTTAGACATAAACAATATGGATGCCAATAATAATTACACAGCTAACGATGCTTATAAGGTCACGGTATATTTGAACGACATGCCTATTTTGATGCAGATTGATACCGGATCAAGGTATAGTATCCTACCGATGTATGTTGCAAAAGAGATTGGTATCAAAATATTAAATAAATCAGACACAAAATTAACTGGTTATGATGGGAGAACAATAAAGGTGTTAAGAACTGTCCAAGTAAAGGCGAAGTTCGAAGACAAAACCCAAACATTAGATGATTATGTTGTCCAGAGTGACAAGGTTCCACTTTTGGGTAGGACCTGGATAGCAGTCTTTAGAAATATACTAGATAGATTTGTAAACTTAGTCGAAGAAGATTATGACAATACTATTCAAGAACTGATCAAACACACCGCTGCCACCATGAAATTTCTAAAAATTTCTAATGGTGCAGACTTCAAGAATATAATTTTTAGGTCAATTTATTGATATTTAAATTTAAAAAATATAATTATCACATAACTTAAAATAGTTTCCTATATATATTGACAATTTAATTTAATGTAGTTTATAATAAATTGATCTTTTTAAAGTTAAAATATAAAATTGAACATTCGTTTTTTAAGTAAATTGATTTATAAAATTTAATATTAGTTTATAAGCAAATTGATTTTTTAAAATATAAAAGTTGTTTTTAACAAAAAGAAAGAAACAATTCTTATTACATTTGAAATATTTTAAGTTACGCCATAAATAGCTTAAGGATGTAAAAAAAAACAATTTTTTAAAGTTAAGATAAAATACATGAATGTCACTGTTTAACACCATCTAATATTTTACTCATATGTTATACCATCTAGTGAAGATATTCAGGGTGATCCTCTGGGCTCCATATTATTTTGTATATTTATATTTGAAATTAAGGTTTTTTAGACCCCTCTAGAGTATATACATTATTTTTTTCACAGGAATACTGAAGGGCTAATTCAATTTAAAACCTTTAATTTTCAAAATAAAATATTTAAATTTTAAATATTTAATTACTTTTTGGTAGATAATAATAGCATGCTCATATTCTTACAATACTCATAGATTATTTTAAATTTAAGAATATTTTGCTCAGCCCCGAAATGTAGTTAAAATCAAATATTTCCCTAGTGCGGTAAATAATAATAGCAGGCCGATTAAATATAAATCTGAGCAGAAATATCTATGCTCTGCATCGAGCCCACTCTAAAGCCGGCATCGAGCCAACTTTCAGAACTAGAATATATAGTCTTCGAACTCCATTTTTTAACAATACTAACTATCACAAAGCCACTTTTTATACATTTTTACATTGACAAAATGGGTAACATAACACTTAAAATTTTTTAATAACTTATGATATTTTTCCCAAAAGGACTACTAATAATATTTTATACACATCACACATTTTAAATGGCAGGCATAAAAGAAGCAGAATGAATACAATATAATTTCTCATAACATAAATTATTCTTTCAATCCACTCTAATTTCATATGATAAGAACTTAGGGCAATATGAAGAGAGAGGGAGGGCCAGTCCGCTGAAATTTATTGTACGATTAAATAATATTTATTTATTAATTATAATTTTAAATATATAATAAAAATATTGACGAACAATAATGATTGTTAAATTAATTCAAAACTTAAATTAAGCTACTTTACTTTCATTCGGATAAAATGTTTTATATAATATCAAATTTGAAGGAAATCAAATTTTCCGAGGCTATACATCAAATAGTGGCTTCTCCTCTATTTTCCAAAATAATATTTTTTACCATAATTATTAATACGATAGAGCTAATATCAGATTCATTTGATACAATCAACGCTATAAGCGATTCGCCTCTCGCTATCATGAATAACATTTTCTTGGCATTTTATATTTTTGAAATGAGCGCCAAGTTGTATGTTTGGAAAAAGGAATTCTTTGAAGATCGTTGGAATACATTGGATTTGATAATTGTGAGCAGCAACTGTTTAGAGTACATTTATTCTACTATAGTAAGATATGCAAATTTTATACCAAGTATTTACTTACCCAAAGCCATGGTTGCCATGAATGCTCTAAGGATAGTTAAAACCTTAAGGGTACTAAGGTTGTTAAAGTACATAACTACTTTAAGAGTCGTAACTTCTGTATGTTTGGGATCTATGAAATCGCTCGGGGCTATATTTTCTCTCATGATACTTTTCGTCTACGTGTTCGCCGTCATTGGTGTCAGCTTATTCAAAAATCAAAATGAACACTTTAACGATTTGATTACCGCTTCTTATACCATATTTCAAATACTGACCCTGGATAATTGGTTTGCAGAATACGCTACTCTGTCTCATAACTCATCTGGGGGTATTTTTTTGTTCTTGGTAACGTGTATAATTGTAGAATACTTTGTGTTATTCAATCTTTTTATAGCAGTTTTGGCCGATAATTTTCAATATACTATAACTTTAGCCAAAGCAGAGAGGGAAAAAGAAGAAATAGAAAGGACAGTGAAAGAAGGAGAGATCCTGGAAAGTTATATAGAGGATATGGAAAATAAATTTGAATGGAATAGAGATTGTTTGCTTAAAGAATCCGAAAATGAAGGTAATTTTTTAAAATTAATAATAAATATAATTTACAATAATACAAGGTAAGTTTAACCGACCACCAAAAATAATTTCCGGCTAATATATTATTTAAAATATTACTGTTTCGTTTCATGATTATATTAATTTATATTTTATAATCATTCCTACCTCTTATTATATTTCAATTTACATTTATTTATCAAACTCATAGCAGAAATAAATGCGCAACTAATTTATTTTATGAATTAATATCGATTCCAAATTTTCCTTGGTGCCACACTTATCATCTGCCTTATTAAAATTTCCAACAAAATTATTTGAAATTTTTCATAACAAAGATAAAGTAAAATATACATTGAATAAAAATCAGAATCCTAGCCACCTTGACAAAGATATGAATGAAACCCATGCAATGAATGGGCAATTTAGTAGGCTTCAGGCTTTTATAAAAAGTAAATGTCTAACAACTATATGTGTGCACTGTGTTGCTCATTGAACTTGGGAGCTGATACCAACACCAAGCGCTGATGAAATCATTAAAGTAGCTTAGCCCCAAAGAAGATTGAATTTCATATTCAAAATTTAAAATATACTTCTTTATTATATTTTTTCCCCATAAATATTTTGTAAGTTTTATATACCCGCAATTATTCTTAATAATATTTTTTTGCATTTAATCTATATAATGTATATATCAAATTGTGAATGTTTAAGAAATTTATATTTTTTTTACAAAGTTCTTTTTTCGAGATATTAGTAACAAGTCCTAAATTTCTGGAACTTAAAATATTCTTGAATAACTCCTAGAAATTTTTTTTCTTCATTATACCCCCCCCCCTTTCCCCAATTCTTGTGGTGTTCATTTCATAGAATTTTCAAGTCTAACAAAATGTTTTTCTTCAACATAAGAGGTTAAATGTTTGCCTAGTCTATATTATCTCAGTTTATTTCAAGAGGGCTAAATTTAACACAGAGATGCAAATATTTATTTTCATTACTAAATGATATCAATCTATTTTGAAACTATGTATGTGAGAGAGTTGATAATAGGGTCTTTTTATAAAATTGTTAAATGATATGTAGAGGATGTGGATGTTGGTAGTAATACAGATTCTCTGCTAAAAAATATCTGACGAACATATCTTAATAATAAAAAAAATAAGTGGAACTGGAATCTACATCCCATTCTGTTCTAAAATCATTATCTTCTTCAAAAAAAATTTATATCTTCGGTTTTACTTAACTCAGTTTAAAAATAAATGGTTTTTTAAATTGATAAGATGTTAATTTCTTATTCCTCTAACTCGGGTGACAAATTGATTATTAAATAAATAATTGATTTACATTTAAAATTCAATTATTTATAATAAAAAATAAATTATATGTGGTCTAAAGAATTTTTTTAAAAAATCAATAAATATAAAAAATTTAAACAATTTTTTTAAACCCCTTTGTAACATCATCAATTGATCATTTCCTGCCAATTCCTTAAAAAAAAAATTAAAAGCCTAGGCTACAAAATTAAAAAACTTTGTAAGCGATTAGAATTTTTTTTTAATATTAGACAATAAATTAAAATAGAATTTTTGAAATATAATATTTTTTTTGGGAACACAATTAACGAATCGTATTATATATATTTTTTAAATTTTCTTTTTAATTAAACAATTTTAACAAATTAAACATTCACACAAAAATTGCATATCATATTTTGTTTTATAATCTTAAACGACTAATTGATTATTTTATTGTAAATGATAAACTAATAAAAAATACTCATTCCATTGTTAAAAGGGACAATTGTGGTTACTTAATAATAATAATAAAAAATAATACCTCCCTACCCGAAAATTTTTTCTCAGTCCGGAACGCGAGGCGAACTTTCAGTCTTCGGATTGAATATGCCGTCCTCTATTACAAATATAATGATCATTGTATTTCTGTTGATAAGTTTAGTTAATATTTTTGGTTTTTCTTTTAAAAAAATATTGTCCAATCATAATATAAAAAAATTTGCTCTTCTATTTTTATTAAAAAAAAGTTAAAAAGATTGAAGAGACGAATGGAGCAAATGACGATTTAGATCATGCTATATCTACCTCCAACAACATATCTGACGCATACTTTGCTAAATTTCTTATGACTTCCAGAGAGCGACTAAATCTGGAACTGTATATCAACGCCATCAAATCTCTTGATTATAATTATTATTTGCTGATGAATCAATTGGACACGATCAATAAATTGGTGGAATCATCCAGTTTCAAATTGAATAATAAATCAAAAAAAGCTTAAAAAAGCCCTACCTATCTCATTACTCACAAGTTGATTCAAAAATCATATTTGCGAAATCATAAACCGAATATTATAAAAGATTTTTTTTCAATTGTAAAAAAAAAATATGCCTAATAAATATTGATCACAAGTATTTTTTAAGTAGTCGCATTGTATATTTATTTTTTATTTCAACATCTATTTCTTCTAATTACTGTATTTCTTTCATGCTACCTTTTAATCATAATCGGGAGGCTATTATATACTATATTTCTGCCGATCTTTTCATAGAAAAGTTTTTAAAATGTTCACTAAGCTGTCCCAGATCAACCAGTCCTTAAATATATATTTAAAAGGCTTTAAGGGTGCAATTTTTCCCTAAGACCAAAAAATATATCGTGTGATTTTATATATAAATAGGCTAAATATATAATAATTTTAAGAAATGTAGGAATATAAGGTAAAAATTAATTGATAAAGATTTATTTATTTTATAGCTTATTATAATAATACAAAGCTTTCTAGCAAAGTTATCTTTGAGTTAAGATATAAATTCCCTTAAAAAAAATTATTTTTAAAGAAATAAATTGTAGTTGGTATTGGTAATGAAAATTAAAGTTAAGAACAAATTATCACATTTAATTTAGTTTTTTATTTTCAAATTTTAATGCTCACTTTCTTTTTTTTCCTATAATTTAATATTGATAGTTATATTAATCTTTTAAATAAAATGATATCTTAGGGGAGAAAAGATATTATAATTAAAAATATCAAAAAAATCTTCAAGTTCAGGTATGAAAATGTTTTGGCAGATTTTGCAAAAAAACATGGTTAATCAAGATTCGATTACCCAGGTTTTATTTCCAATTACCCCAGGGTTATTCAGAATACCCCGACGTTATTACAGAAATAATTATTCCTTGCTAACTTATCACATATATATTGTAAGGTTTTTTTTTTATGATTCATAATATTGTAGAATATTGTATGTATACTTATAATATTCATTATTTTGAAAACTTTCCACCTATCCATATAGCAGAAACAAAGTAAACAACGGATTTATCATATAACAAATATTTTCATGTAAGATTAAGAGGTAAATTAAATAACAGTAAAGATAATATTCATTTATAAAATAGGACTAAATTTTTGTGTATTATAAAAATTTTAATTAATTTTCTATTATATGTCTTATTAGGATATTGAATCCATGGTGATTCCGAAATCTCTCAAGATTTTAAAATTTGTAAAAATCTGATCTGAACAGAAATGTATTACAGCATGTGTTAAATAACTAACCTTATCAATTTTAGGCAATTTTCGCAATAAACTTTTGTGTATTTTATTTAAAAATTTATACAAATAATTAAAAAAATTGATATAAATTTATAATACCTCAAAAGTTATAGGCGCCAAAATTATATAAGAGTGTATAGATGCTCTATATATGTTGGAATACATTTCCTTATCTAATCTGATTTAAAGTTAAGGTCCTCAGTAAATAATTTAAAAATAAAAAGGCTTCTAATCTTGATGTATTCCATATCCAAATATGACACACACATTATATCAATGTTTAATTTAATGAAATTATATATATAAAAGTCGAAATTTTATTTTAAAAGAAACGAATTTATTATTGAAATTTACGAAATCGAGTTTGGACATATAATATATTAATTATTTGAAAAATTCTATAACTTTGGACGTGTTATTTAAAAAAAAAAATTGTACAGGAAGATATTACGCAAGCCTGAAGGTTTTGTTCATAGAAGGGACAAAGGTCTAAACATATATTATCGAAATCTCGAGGCTTAGGCAACTGGCTTTAGCCGTTTTTAAAAATCGACTCAATACGATCCATGTAACAACACTAGATAGTGTAATTGTATACTATAAAAAAAAATAAGGTAAATTAATAAATTATTATAAATAAGATTCATTTATAAAATTGACAGTTTTTTTTGTATTAAAAAAAAATATCCTGGGAAATTACCGCGGGATGCACGCATTTCTTCTGGCAGTTTTATATAGCCAATTGAGATTGCTAAATAATATTTAATTTAAAAAAAAAAAATGTTCATATATAATTAAACCGCATTGTAAATAATTCAAATGAAAATATGATTTCAAAGGTTTAAGCTCTTATCTTAATATATATAAGAATGAATAAATTCGATCAAAATGGTATAATTTCTTTTTTTGATTTCTAAATATAAATTTAAAAAAATATTGTATTTTTTTTTATATTATTGAGATAGATAACTTTATTCTGTATAATTACAGAATATGTTACTGATAACGTGCATAATAAGACCAATACGTAAATGGCATAGGCGATGTGTGTAATATCTTACAAAATCATCAAATATTTATAGGGTAAAGGGTAAAGGGTAAAGTGGCCACACTTACTGCAATACATTTTTCGATAAATATAAATTTTTGCAAATTTAAAAAAACGCAATTAATTGAAGAGTTGTAAATAGCATAGTCCTTTAGTTAGGATATTTTCTGGCTATTACGTTAGTTTACTATAATTTCTTTTGCCGACGAACAGGTAAAAAAGATAATATTTATATGGATATTTTAACCTTAAATAGTGGTTTATTTAGCTCTGTTAAATTTGATAAATTCGATAAAGAGAATTCAATATAGAGTTATTTATATTAGGAAAGTCAGTTTTTGTTTAAAAGATGTAAGTCCGGCTGAATCTCAATTTAAGAAAATTTTTTTAAACATATTTTGTTAATAAAAATATCAAATTAGTATATCGTAGATGTTATTCAGATTCGATTGAAGCGTTCTTTTAAGGAGATCAAGCCATGCTTTAAAATATTTAAACCAACTTCGACGACTTTTGAGTCTAAATTTGAGTTTGTTAGATTTCGAAGAACAACGGATACTCTAACTGAATATGTGGATAAAATTAGAACAATTGGCAAACGTTGTCAATTACTGAGCGTTTACGTGATCAATTTATGGTTAGCATGGAAATGCCAGGATTAAAAAGAAGTCTTCAGGTTCATCCCGATGATCTTGATAGAAATAATAATATATTGAATTTCCAATTTATTCATGATCTGGCAATCGTTTCTGACCGTGCTGACAAGGAAATAAAAAACAAAATATAAAAATTATAAAAATAAATTTAAAACGTGTATGTTTTCTAAAGGTTGTAAAAAAGTTAAATACAATAATACGTTTGATTTGATAAAGGGTATAATAAAGCCAAATATTATAATATTTTAAAAACACTTTAAATAAAATTATTGAAATTAAAAGCAAGGGCATCACTAAAAATGCCACTTTTATTGACGTATATGACAGTTATATAATATACTACAGTTAATAGTTTTAAAATTTTACTAATAAATGTTTTTGATAATAAATATAAGTAACAATTTGCATTCAATTATTTAATGCCATCAATTTATTTAAAATATTAATAATTAAACATCTTCTTTTTTTTATTTAGCAAGGGATGTAATAATTAGATATCTATATTTCCTTCTATTTGTTTTACGTGTTTTTAGGAAAGCTACCTTTTTCTTCTTTAAAAAACAGTTTTAAGTTGAATTTTTAATACGAATATATTTTTGATATTATTACAAACTACTATTATTTTAAGTTATAATATACCAACTAGAGATGATGCGACAATTATATTAAAATCTTAATTGCTTTCATGATATCACTCTGGTTCTTACTTTATAGTTACAAAATGTTTCATTTCTAAATGGCATCCTTACCGTGTAAATAACTCAATGCTTCAATAATATATTTGCATAATTTCTTCTAAAAATTTTAGTGTTTTTGTTTTATCACAGCATCTATTATTTGTGTGGCTATATAATTTAAGATTATTACTACAGCTGCTGACAGCATATGATTGCATATTTTAGATAAGCAATAATGATCAACTGTGTAGTCGTTTATATGTCATTAAAAATGGAAGATGATCTTTTAGAAATTTAATATCTCACAATAATTTTATCGATTACTTATCTAACTGTCATCTAAGAGGAAGTTCTAACCACCATATAGTTTTATGATTTGGAGTGGTCTTTTATATTTTCTTCTTCAAGAATTGCTGATTGTAAAGCTAATAAATTTTTTCTTATTAATCCATTTTATAAAACATTGTCTAAAATGGTAATTGAGAGTTATATTAGTTTCATGACCTTTTGTCAATGGTTGCTAATAATTATATAGCCTTATGTGGTTTTTAAAAACCATTATCAATTAAGGCATATGTATGAATTAATTAAGCTTTTTTATCACTTGTAATTCTTTAGATGCAAATTTCTTTTATATCATCATCGAAAATATTTTATACTGTAATAAATAGACTTTGTATTAAAAAATATTATTTTTAGATATGTCTTGTATTGTTTTAATTATTTATATGTTTGTTTATTTTGTGTGCAAAATATAATAAATGACAAAATATGAAATTCAGAATAATTGTTTAGAGTTTGCAAATTTTAAAAAGTATAATATATTAAAACTCCTACAGTTACACAGAAAATTTAAGTTATAGGATCATCTGTTTGTATAAATTAAATAAATAAAATCAACAATAGTAAATAATGAATTACTTTTTGATTTTAATATGCCCTCCTACAGCTGCAAAGAAAATTTAAGTTATAGGATCAACTGTTTCTATAAAATAAATAAATAAAATCAACAAATAAAAAATAAATAAATATATACGTACTGATGACATGACGTCACGACGATGTAATGAGGACATCGGAAAATTATAATATAGATTATAATATTGATTTTTTTTAAAATAAATTCTTAAATTGATTTTTTTATATAAATTATTAAATTAAGATTGATTATTATTATTATGAAAGTTTCTGTTTTTATTAATTTTTTGTTTGTAACATGCTATATAAGCATTACCTTTTCAGTTTTCAAAAAAGAGAATTTTAAAAATAAATTAAATAAAATAAAAATAAACTTGTTATACGTATGACCAGTACTACGGAAAACTTTAGTTGCTTATAAAAAATTTTCCCATATTTTAACAATAATTTTGGCGATTTTTTAAAAATCGAAACCCTTTTTTAAATCATCAATTTAAAAATAACTATATTAAAAATTTAGTATATAACATGAATATCATTTTTTTTAAATAAGAAAATTGTCACCAAATAAGATTTAATAAAATGTTAAAATTGGTAATGAATATTTCAATCAAAAATTTTGCCTAAATACTTAAATTTGACCAGTTTGAAGTAATTAAAAAAAAATTAGGGACAAGTATAGGCCAATTTTATTTTCTAGAATTGTAGCCAAACCAAGTACTATGTCTCATTCAGCCAAAAGAATACTCTGAAGAACCATAAGAAAATCTCAATAAGTCTGTCGAAATTGGTATAAATATTTTCCAAATAAAATCTTTTTTAGTTGAGCCCCCCTGAGATATAAAAGGGTAGCAACGCCCCTGGTTGGCAATACATTCTATGTTTATTTTATTAATTCCTCTGATGATTAGTATTCTTCCTCATAAAAAAGCACAAATCATCCGTTATCTTTTTTTTGAAAATTTCTTCACAAAACGTTATTTATTCAGAGCTGTACATTTGCTCTTAAAATTTGAAGATCTTTTATTTATAAAAAAATTTGAGCAACGATCTTAAAAGATCTATATCTTTGAAGATCGTAAAATTTGAAAATCTTTTATTTTTTAAAAATTTTGTGTAACGATCTTCAAAGATATTCATGATATTTATTTTTTTACCCCTTTATTAAAAGCCCAGATGTTTTTCAATTTTATTAATATAATATTTCTTTTATGTTTTATACCTCTTTTCCTGCCTTGATGAAAATTGAAAAACATCTGGGCTTTTAATAAAGGGGTAAAAAAATAAATATCGTGAAGATCTTTAAAGATCGTTACACAAAATTTTTAAAAAATAAAAGATCTTCAAATTTTATGATCTTAAAAGATCTAGATCTTTTAAGATCGTTGCTCAAATTTTTTTATAAATAAAAGATCTTCAAATTTTACGATCTTCAAAGATCTTGCTCAAATTTTCTCGCTCAAAAATCTTCAAAGAAGATCTTTTGTACAACTCTGCTTTATTATAATATTTTTTTTAAGTTAAGCTAATAAAAATAATTATTGTAGTAATATATTTTTAATGATTGATCAATGAATCTATCAAATCTATAATATATTGATAAATATTATATATTTATTATTATTGTTATTAGAATAATAATTGCAAACACAATATTTATTCATCCATATAACACACGCAAGTAAAAGTATGGATATATTAATATATATTAATCCGGATATCACATTGTTGATATGGGTGTTAGGTAGTTAACCTCACCCAATATTATATTAAAATAATAAATATTTAATAATTATTATTACCATATCTAATTGACGAATATAATAATTCATAATGTTTAAATAGTTTATTACAATATATTTCTATATTGCTACAATTTTCACTTATAATTTTGAGTTAATATTTTCATATAACCAAAGTCTATATTATGAATGAATGAATCAATGATTTAATTCTTACTGAAAATTATAATTATAAACATTGTTCAAATTTATTGATTAGGTGTCAATCATTCCATTTTATGTCATCCGGTTAAATTCCTTGAATTTTCAAGTATTTAGATTTTGCATAATCCGTGATAAATTTTTTTAAAAATAATGCTAATCATACATACATTGATAGGTTCTTTTGCATGATATGTGATGATCTTTTTTAATAATTATCCTAATATATATACATTGATGGTAGTGTTGTTAAAGTACTTGATTTATCCAAATTTATTGCAGACGCCTAATATTTATTGGGTTAACCTTTTTTTAAAAATCAAGCAGCTTAGGTTCTGGTAATCAATTAATTATTGAAAAACCAACCAATGATAAAAAAAGCTTAATTCTTTATTTAAAATTAAATCTTGATATATATAGGAATTAAATTTTTATTTGTATTCATTAATTTTTATTATAAAACTAGCTAATTTGCATAGTTTTAAAAATATGTAGTTTAAACTTATATATCAAATAATAATTATATATAGTATATTTATTTATTTTTTTAAATTAAAACATTTATTTTATTATTAATTATATAAAAACAAATAGTAAAATTATAATCAACATACTATATCTATCTATCTATATGAAAATATATAATTAAAAGAAAAGATTAAAATAAAATAATATATTTAGGTTTGGTCGGCAGGGCTTAATGAGCCATGTATAGATATACAGTTGGGTCTACAAATTTCAATTGATATTCTTAGTCTTAGGTAGAAGCCTTCTTTTGGATCATCTGTGATATTTAGACCAAAGCATAGCCATATTTGTGATTTTCATGGGGAGGGGGTGGGGTTTGGGGTTTCTCCCTCATGAATGATTTAAATGCTACCTATGCAGGCCCTTGGCATGGTTTAAATAATTTTGGTTTTACATATCTTTTTTGAACATTTTACTGACTTTTATTGGATTGTAAAATATTTATTGTAAATCTTTAAATTTATTTACAAATCTCTCAGAATATATCTAAAAATAAAGCTTAATTAAAGTTTGGTTGTAAGTGACCAGGGTTGGGCACTTGTAAAAATTAAAATTTTGTACTTAAAATAGCAAAAAAAAATACAAGATATGTTTATCTTATTTTTATAAAAAGATAACTGATATAAAAGGTTTTTATCAATTTCAAAATCAAGATCTCATCAACTAACTTCTATTTTATCATATTTGTGGTTCCCAAAATTTTCTTATAACAAGGGCCCAAGATTGTCTTTGTAAACTATCTTTTAAGAGCTTATTAAAATATATATCTTGAATTTATAAATTAAATAACATGTCATTTCATTATTAAGTGACAAGTCATTGCAAGAAAACTTCAAGTCTTAGTAGATCAACCTATAGTGTGCATATATGTTTGGGATTTCAACAACTGTCTTTAATTATCAGTTTCATATTTGAAGCTGTCATCAATTTTTTTTGCAAAGATCTTCAAGAAAATTTTTTAATTGGTAATGTTAATCCATTACAATATGATATTTCTGATAAATTGACAAGTAGAAGATAAGAATAAGTGAAACATACATCATTTTTTACAAATTCTTTTTGTTCAACAAGAGATAATATGCATTCCTTTAACAACAAAAGTTAATAGATTTATAATTCAAGATATTGTTTTCTCTTTATTGCTTGAAAACTCTAGGGTTTTTTGAGTTAGGCTGCATTCAAAGTGGAGATGGATCCGTTTTGACATCCATTCCATCAAAATTCAATCTCATTAAAAATGATATATATTGATTTTCATTTTTAAAAAATTATAAGTAACGTTATAAAGGCTCTATAAAATTTTCCAGATCAAAAAGTCAAAATATTTTGACTTCAAAATTTGCCAGATCCGTTTTTAAGATGGAAGATATCGGAACAGGCACACTATAAACATATATATCATTTCTAATGAGATTGACTTTTGACAGAATGGATGTAAAAAACGGATCCGTCTCCACTTTGAATGCAGCCTTAATGTTTTTTCAGTTTTCACGATTTTTTTTCTTTCTATGTGTAATACTTTATGATGATTCATGTAGTTTTTTATATGGATCTAGACAGTGGTGTAGACAAGAGAAGGCTTTGGAGTTGAACCCCCCCATAACTCGAAATTTTTTTTATATTAAAAAAATAATTAATTAGATATTTATTAGGGCTGCATCGGTTTAGATCCAATCCAATATTTATTTCAGAGACCTGCAGAGGTACCATTTGCACGACCCAGTCTGGATTTTTTAAAAAAAATATTTTCAAAAATAATTTTCAGGCCCAGGCTGGCCCATATTTAAAAAAATTTCAGGTCCAGCCCAGGTATATTTAAAAAATTAACAGGCCCTGCAGGTCTCTGATTTATTTCAAACGGCACCGATGCCAATATTTAAATTAATTTTTTTGTCATCTTTTATAATATAAGATAATAGAATTAGAGGTCTACATTTGACGGGTTTTTGGACCATAAGCCCGCCCACCCAATGTTTTAAAATATTAAACCCACCCGCCCAGAGTTTTCAAAAAAATATACTCATAGATCCGCCCATTAGTCTAAAATTCCTTACCCGCCCGCCCATTAGTCTAAAATTTTTTGCCAGCCCGCACATTATTTATAAAATTTTTTTAGCCCAAGCCCGCTATTATTAAATATAATTATGGCCATTCTTTCAATATTTTAAGCATCTGATAAAAAAATTTCAGCATATATCCCTACAAAAGTTTTATAATTTAGGAAATTACCATTTGACATTTTCTGGATTCAAACACGTTCTTTTTTGTTCTAAAAACCTTCCAGCAATGCTAAATCCTCGTTCATTAAAAGCAATAGTTGCAGGAATTGCCAATATTTTTCTTACTAATCTTGACAGCTTTGGCAAATCTCTTTCTTATCTTTTCCACAAGTAGTTTTAAATACAAAAAAGTTTATATATTTTAAGAAAAAAGTTTTTATGATGCCAAAAACGGACATATGAATTTTTAATATCCCAAAAACATTTTTTTATTAATATTTACTTAAATGATTTAAATTTTTTTTAACCCACCTCCCATTGTTGAAATTTCGTAACCCACCCACCCGCCCATAGTTTAAAAATTTTTTTAATCCGCGCACCTGCTCGTTCTAAAAAAAATTTTTAGTGAGCGGGCGGGCCAAAACCCCATAATCTAGACCTTTAAAAGGGATAATAAAAATCGGTGTATAATTTTTTTCAAAGCTTTTTACAAAATATTCGCTTATCTCAGCTCTTAAAAATCTCTTTAAAATTCTAAAAATATGAATTATTTTTAAATTTATAGAAAGGTTTTTTATTAATAAATATAATAAAAAATGTCTTATTTTATTAAGTTATAGCCCTTAGATAATTTATACATATGAAAGTTTAATAATTATAAAAATATCAATATTTTTTCATGGATGCATTAATAACAGTATTATTATAATGATTATAAAGATATCTCAGCTAAGCCATATAATATCACAATATGCTTTAAAAAATTTTGAATAACCACAAATGTTAAAAATTTGTTAATACTAGCGGCCCTGCTTATCAATACATGAATAAATGAGATGCCATCCAACTTCTACTATGCAGTGAATAATTAATAGTCTAACCTTCACCTGTTGTAGATGTCAAAAGCAGATAATCTTACTTTCACTCCAATATTATTTATTGCCATTTAAACTGACAACAGCACGAAATTCAAAAATGGCGTTATTTTTTAATTATAATAATTTTTCTATAAATTTCCACCCATAACTTCGAAATTAGTGATACAAAAATAGAGGAATCGTGAAACTTAACTTTATATAATCATATTTAAAATCGTTTAGGTCAAAATATAACCACATACAAAATTTTTGCAAGCAAAGATTGGTAAAAGATACAAAATGTGAAACCGGCGTTATTTTATAAAATCTGGATTGTACATGCCTAAGTATCTGGATACAATTTTCGGAAGGATCTATTAAGTCCAGAACGATGTGTTTTTAAATTTTTGTTTTATTAATTGATTTCCACAATATGAAATGATAGCAGATGTGTGTATGAGAGATTGCAAAACCCAATCTGTCCTAAAGACCATGGGCCGGGCTGGCATTTTAATAAAAAATATATCAGGCTGGGCAAAAAAAATAACGCCGGGTAATTTAGGCCAGTTTGGGCATTGAAATCTTGTTTTAATATTTTGATTAATACCATTTGAAAATAAATTTCAATAGGCATATTTCTTTGTATTTTGATATCTGTCTAACTAAAATACTAAATATCTAAAAATAAATAGTAAATTCACAAAAAAATTTAACAATTTGTTTATGATACATCTACACCACGATATAGATACAGGCACAATATTTATAAAACAGTTGTTGTAGATATAGATAGCCTTAGAGGAAAGATATAAGAGCTTTAATTTACATTGGAAAAAGATTTATGGATATTAAAAATGCTATGGCCGGAAATAAAGAACTCTAACGAGCCGGGCTTGGCAAAAAAAAATTTCGGGCCGGGCTTGACAACTAGTGCAAAAATTCTTAGAAAGCCAGACTTTGCAGACCTCTAGTTATGTATAGCTCAAGCAAGTGATATTTAAATATTTTATTTTTAAAACATTTTGTGATAGGGATATCCCAAATGGTCTCAATTATTATTTTATCAAATTTCTATTTTTAGAACTTTTTATTAGATAAATTAAATAATATTTGTAAAATAAGTCAAAAAATTAATTAGAAACAAAAATATATTGAATTTAATATAATTTTATTATTATTAAATTAGATCCACAGATTTTTTGAAACATGAAACCCGAAATTGACGATAAACTTTCAAAAAATGATGCTCCAAGAATCAAGCCTAATCCCCAACCCAAAAAATCGAGTGGTAAGAAACATCAAAAATTACAAAATGGCCTTCAAGTCTCTGAAAATGATCTTAATCACAGCCTTGCTCAACTCAATAGCATGCTTCAAAAGCTCTCCACTCAAACTCCTAAACCTAGTAGCGATATTGAAACCCAAGATGTCAGCCCACTCACGCTTCAAAAATGTGTAGATCCTTGTTGTCACCATGAAGCTTCACCGTCGTCTCTCCACAACAATCCGCATCTCGCTGACATTCCGAAATCTACGCTCGAAAGTGTCAAAAAGAATTACGCCTTTTGGGCCACCCAACCTGTGCCTAAATTTACCGCGGATGACTATTTTGATAATTTAAACGAGCAAATAAATGGACCAATAATTGTTTACAAAGATGATGACCTAGAAGAGGGTGCCGAAAAGAAAGGCTTCGAAAAAGGTGCAAAAATTCTTAGCTTATCCGAATTGAGGGCAATCCCATATCCCCTACCCCCCGGGTTTGAATGGAATCGAATCGACGTTACCATCGAAGACCAATTGCGAGAGCTGTACGAATTGCTAAGCGAAAACTATGTAGAAGACGAGGATAACATGTTTCGCTTTGCTTATTCACCTGCCTTCTTGATTTGGGCCCTAAAGCCCCCAGGTTGGAGGCCCGATTGGCATTTGGGAATACGCACCACATCATCTGGTAAACTAGTGGGCTTCATTTCAGCAGTACCAGCCCGACTCTCCGTCCAGGCACGGGAGATCGATTGCGTCGAGATCAATTTTCTATGCGTTCACAAGCGTTTGAGGTCAAAGCGTGTTGCTCCGGTCTTGATAAGCGAGATAACACGACGCGTCAATGCTTGTGGCATTTGGTACGCCGTCTACACAGCTGGGGTAGTATTACCACGTCCTTGTGGTGTGGCCCGGTATTGGCATCGGTCCATAGACCCAGTCAAACTAGTTGAGGTCCGCTTCTCCCACCTGACTCGAAACATGACTCTGGCTCGGGCCCGAAAGCTTTATAAACTGCCTCGCGCTACTACAAATACTCCGGGCTTGAGGCAAATGTGCGAGACAGACGTAACGGCTTCGGCTAAACTTCTAAATGAGTACTTGGCAAGCAAATTCAGTATATACCCGATATTTACCGAGGATGAGTTCCGACACTGGTTTTTACCCCGGCCCGGCGTAGTCGAAACTTATATCGTTGATAAGAGTCGAGGTTATCTTATGTGTTTTGCCTTAGAAAGAAAGAAAGGAAGAAAGAAAGTTTCAAATTCAGCATTTTTATTTTCCTATTTAAAAAATGCTGCCTAATTAATTTTTTATCCCATTTTATATAAATTTATGGGCAGAAAACAGAATTAAAATCATTTTCGATATCGATAACAAACAAAATGTTATTTATTATTTAAAAAAAAATACAATATTAGTTGTTGGCAATGTAGAAATTACAGACATGTTCAGTTTTTATTCCTTGCCTTCCACGATAGTCAACCATCCCGTCCACAAGACCCTTAATGCTGCTTACTCCTTTTATAACGTGAGCACTCAAACCCCCTTGGTCAAGTTGATGGAGGAGGCTTTAATCGTGGCTAAAAGCCAGAGCTACGACGTTTTCAATGCTTTAGACCTCATGGAGAACAAGCAATTCTTGGAGCCCCTCAAGTTTGGCATAGGAGATGGTCACTTGCAATACTACCTATTCAATTGGCGATGTCGTTTCATGAAACCGGAAGAGATAGGATTAGTCCTGCAATAAATAAAAAAACACATAAAAACTGTATTATATTTATAAAATCGCAAATTTGCTTAATGCCCTCGTGAAACTGTGATATTTATTTCCAGTAATGATTGCTATCTAACGAATCGCCGATGATGTTTTGTAATAGAAATCACCTTAAATACAATATAATATACGCTCTTCTTTTTAAATATAAAATAGTATTAAAATAAATTATCTTATGAATTTTTTAAAATTGTATTTTGTTTTATGAATCAATAAAAAAAAATTAAAAAATTCTCATCGTATTTTATTTGACTATCAATTCAATCACTATATATTAAAATTAACCTATATTGAAGTCAGCTTTAGCTAATGGTATTTTCCTTCACGCGCCTTTTACATTTCGTCTAAATGTCAGTGAATAAATTAATGTAAGTATTAATGTCATCACTATCATTCATTTTTTATTAAAATATTAATGAGTTGTTAGCAAGTATCCGGTAACCAATATAGATTCAGGTTTGGGTTCAGATAAAAATAACGGTTTGTTGGGTTAAATCGGTTCGGTTTGAAGCTTGTTCGAAAATTTCAGCATACAAACTTATTAGAATTATGTTTGATAAAGCACATTATTAAAAAAAAAATTTTTCCGTATCAAAATAATATAGAGCCTCATGTAATCAGAAATATTTTCTAAATTCTTCTGTTAAGAGAAAATAAGACTCTTTGGTTATAAACACTTCTATACGCTAAATTGGCGGGCAGCTGGCACCTTCAAATATTAGTATACAAAAATTTCCAAAACTTGTTACTGATAATTATTAATCAAAAATTATTATTAATAATAGTTAAATATAATGTTATGACGTCAAAAGGTTCAAGCCAATACACATATCTCTTCAAAGATTTAGGTTCGGGTAAAAATTGTTAACTTTTCGGATTTGGTTTAGGTTCTGTAAATAATAACGGCTAATGGTTGGGTTAGGGCTTGGTTTGGGTTTCTGGTTGCCAGCTTAAGATTCAGGCAAAAAATTGAATAATGCCTATAATTGATTGTAATTATATGGCAAAACAAAAAATTTGAATTTTTCCGAAGGTGTTAAAACGAAATAAAGGAATAACAGATTTTATTTAGGTTTAAAAATTATCTATAACCTTCCTATCTTAATTATTTATCAAACAAATTTAATAATAAATAAATCCTAAAATTCTTAAAATTTTCAAAAAAAATCTCCCCTCCCTCCTTTCCATTTTATTATAATTTTCGACTATAAGATGTATTGAGCCACTTCGCTTATTTGAGGAAATTTTTTTTGAATATCTGAAAAATCATCAATTAAAAGATTTTTCCCCAATTAGCACAACGCATTCACCATCTGAGAATGATTAGCTTAGCAACGACACTCCATGTCCGCAAAGTTTATTCGCGCGTCCCTAGATAAGGCAGTAAATTCTTTAAAAAATTTTTATTGAATGCACAATTTTATTTTTATGATGAATTTACTTATATATTACATTCATCTTATCGTATTATACCATTCCTTACATTTTTCTGTCAGAAACTTTGATATAATTCTTTAGTTCAAGATCCTAATAGGGTAAGGGTCTGTCGGCAGTTCTGCCCCTGCCACTTTGCTAGCTTCCCCACTAAAATAATATAAAAAATTGTTTAAAAAATTTTTTTACCTTAAAAGACTGATAAATGAAACGATTACGATAAAATTTTTACTAGAAACTATCTAATGAAATGAAAGAGTTGAAGATTTTTTATATTTGAAACTAATTAACCAAATGAATACATTTTTTTTATTCTAAAAACGAAAATTAAAAAAATTGTGAATACCAATAAATATTAGATATAATAAAATCGAATTCAATATAATGTATTCTATTCATTTTAAACGAATATTACATCCTTTGAATCAGTGGCCTGCTTGCCGGGGAAGGGAATTTGTCTCCTATTCAAAATTTTTGCCACGATACCTCTAAATAAAAAAATGGCTAATGGAAACTTTAAGTTGTTTCATCTATTTAAATTCGGAAAAATGTGAAGTTTCTATTTATAGAATATATCCTGAAAATCCCACTTTTTTTAATAAAATCAAAATATTTTCGAAAAATAAACAGCTGGTAAAAAAAATATTTGGCCCTGTCTATTAAAATTCTAATTATTTTACAGTCCGAACTGGATTTTTAAAATATCAAGATTTTTAATAATATTGTCTTATATTTTTTAAATTGTTTAAAATGGTTTTTTAAATTTATATTTAAACCTTCTTTTGTATTTATTTATAAGCCTTGTCCGGCCCCGGATGTTTAAAATAATACCATTTCACTATCTGTGGTCGGGCCTTCAGGACTATAACCATTCGGTTGAATGATTGATTCCTCGTGGATCACTGAATATCAATCTTTGCACATTATCCTATTTTTTTTATCTGCCTCTATGCCCATTCCTATGGTGCTATACCTAGACCAGTCGGAATTGGTCAATGTTTAGGCCGCGTTATAGTTTCAGCTCACAATGCAATAGCTGTGGTACATTAGTTAATAAGCTGGGTCTCTATGATCTAGCATGCTTCAAAATCATTACGTGAAACAGAATGAACGTCATTTTTTTCCAAATCCATAGTCTCGGCTATAATCCCGAATGGCCAAGTCCCCTCCTACCATCTTTATTTCACCTAAAGTAAAAGTCCCATAGTGCTACACTAACAGGGTTTGAAAGTGAAAAAATCAAATGGTAATTAAGATTTTTCCTGTCAAAATATTTTTTAGCACAAATTTTGAAATCGACTTTATTATTCAGCTGGAGGTCAACAGAATTAACAAACTCAAAATTAACCTTTTGTCCCGATGCTAGCTAAGCTAGCTCCCTTTGCTACACAATTCCAGAGAGTCTGAATATTCTGTACATAGGTTAAAACTTTCAGGAAATTCCCTTGAGTTTTGTCACTTGATCTGAGAATCCCGGTATCTGCCGATACTTATTTCTTTTTTGAAGATGCCGGTCGTTACAAAATTATTCAATTCCCCAAGTGTTAGGTTAGCTGAGTGTACAATTTGGCGCTAGGATAAAATTACGTGCAAAATAAATAAGATTTTTTTTAAAATAATTTTACGTAAAAATTGTTAGTTTTTTAGGCCATTTTAATTTTAAAAAAATAAGTGTTCAGAATGATATTTATTTTATTCTATTCTAAAAAATAAAAAAGAATAATTTATATATTTTCCGAAAGGTTGGCACTTGGCATCTTGCTAAATGATTGTAACTCTAACTAATGTCAATCAAATCCCTAAATAAAATCTCGAATTCATAATATTATATTTTATCATTGGAGTTTTTAAAAATTCTTCATTCTTTAAAAAATTAAATTAATTATATTAGAATATTATTTATTATGATTTTTAAAAACGACAATTAAAAAGTAACCTACCTAAAAAAAGGAAATAGCATTTAAAAATTTTTATATGTTTTTTATCTCAAAAAAGGGAATTCTTTACATTTTTCATATAAATTTATTCAAAAATGATAAAAATAAATGAAGTATTAAAAAAAAGAAGAAAAGATTTAATTGAATAAATTTATCAGAAACCTTTAGGCCCTAATGCTGAGCAGTATTTTTAAATACCGAAGATTTTTAATGGCCATGATGATCTATAAAAATTAAAAATGGCCGAAAATATTTTTAAAAAAAAAATCCGGGCTGGGCCGTGCCGTGCAAATGGTATTATAGTGTAATTTTTAGTAATAAAATTTTTGTTATAATTTTGACCATAAAATGTTAATATTTGTTAATTGTGAAAAACTGCCTTTATTTTAATTTATATAAATTAGAAGTCGTTGTTGGCAACTGGCCCAGGTAAAATATTAAAAAGAATTTTGGCCCAGCTCTGAAATTATTTAACCTACAATATAATTGTTACAAAAAAATTATTTGAAAACTATTGTATAGTAATAATTCTTCCTTATAATATTATTTGTTAATTTTGGGTAAAACAAATTGCTATTTTATATTTGGACAATTTTTAATAACAAAAAAAGCCCTCAGGTCATTTCCAGAGAACGTTTTTTCAAAGCGGTTTTTGGGTAATGTTACTCAATTTTAAAAATTTTAACTTCTCGAATTATTATTTTTTATATATAATAAAATATTTTTAAAAAACAATCTAGATCCCCATTTTTTTTAATCGTAAATAGAAAACAAACTGGTTTGATTTTAATAAAGATTAAATGGCGTTTTGAAATGTGGCTCCGGTTTGTTTTTTTTTAAATATTATATTATATAAAAAAATTAATTCTAGAATTTAACATTTTTTTTGGAAATAAAAAAAATTGCTGGTAACATAAAAACCGCTTTGAAAAAACGTTCTGCCTAGAAATAGCATCACTCACACCAAGCTCCTGAGTGTAGTAGTTATGTTATGTCAGTGGCAAAATAAATTTACATCCATTTTAAACTAAAAATTAAGTCATGAATGTATAAAATATAAATAATATTATGTAATTATTGTGTACGAATAAAATAATTCTAATATTTGTTTAGCTGAGGTCTAAATATGCTGGCGCTTACGTCATATCTGCTTGCAAATATGTAATTTTTTCTTATCCTTAACATGCAAAATTATTGTGTATTTTTATTAGGCATATATTTTATTTTTATACAATTCATTTCACATTATAAATAGCATATAAATAAATGCTATTAAATTATAAATAAATGCTATTAAATTATAAAATAATGATTATAATGTTTTAATGCATTGCATTTATAAAATAATTTTAATAGATATTCATTGAATAAAAGATGCAATGATTTAACAATTTTTATAAAAATATATATAGCGCCAACTAACGGATATTATCTCATCAATTTAAAATGATATTATATAATATTATTTATATAAAATGTTAAATATTTAATTAATATATATAAAATGGATATTTGAACTAATTAGAAATAATATTATTATTTGGACTAACATTTAAGATTTCAAAAATTTGATAAAATCTAGATTTATTCTTTAAAGACTTGCATTAACCTAATAATATTTTCCCATATAACGTAAAACATTCTTGAACATAAGTACTTACCTGGCGCGAGGGCAACTGTGATCATGAAGGCGGTTCCCTTAGTCGGAGGCTTTGCCATTGCACTATTGGTTGAGTTGAAGGCTACGATTGCCCCAAATGTGGGTAACTCGAGCGCATAATTTCTGGTA